GAGTGGAAGTGAGAAGAAGAAGGAAAGGAGGACACACTGCGACCGCAACGCATGGATGGATGGATGGATGGATGATGCAAGGTGGAGGAGAGAGAAAGAACCCAATAGGAGAAGAGTGTGAGGAACACATGGATGGAAAGCTCCGAATGGAGGACAGAGGGTATAGGGGATGAATGAAGTGAGAGATAAGAAGAAAGAGAAAGACTGGGAGGGTTTCGCTGGTGTAGCAGTGCGCAGTGTACACTCCTGGAGTTTCAGTTTTCTCAATATTGCAACACAATCATAATTATCATCTTGATTTCAATTTAATGACATGCACATTCTGGGAGAAATTAAGTAGCTTACAAAAAAGTGCGAATTACAGACATTCAATCAAGTGAAACTGCAGAAACATTAATAACTCAATCACAAAAATGGTGATGTTAAACACAAGGGAATAATAAAAAATTTTTGAATCTCAAATAGAACCAAAAAAATCAAAAAAACTTACCTCAAAACTTGAAGCACTCATAACTGGTTTTAGTGGTTATAAACATATGATTAAATGGATGTGGCAATGAGTTTTATGAAGAGTTTAATTTTAGCATCTGGTAAAATATGGTTAGACAAATAAAATACATTTCCATGCAGCTCTTTTGCTTGGCAGAGGAAGGAAGGGCAATCAAGTGTTGCCAAAATTTAAGTGTAATGAAACCACTGTGGTAAACTCAACTCAATGTCTTAGCATTCAGGTCCAGTAAAGAAAATAACTCTTGTTTTCTTTTTTTGTTTACCACAAAGTATCAGTCCCCCCAATTATTTTGGAACTGGCTAACATTCAAGCCATTTTTAAATATCAAAGAGCACCTCTTGGAAAAGAAATTCTTGGATTTTGCTTTAATGTATAGCTTTCCAAATACAGTACTGTAAATTTTTCCAGTGTTTCTATTGTGTTGTGTTCAGGTTTAGTTGATGATACAAAAATTTGAAGATAATCTTTGATGATAATGCTTGCAAAGTTAACAGTTTATCTTGGTCCTCAAAGATTTTGGAATGAGTCTTTTCATTGAGTTTCAACATTCCCAACTATTTTCAAAGCTCATTTCTGCAGCTGTGGAATGCTGGGCATAAGAAAAGAAGGTGCTCTGGTGATGCATTCAGCAATGTATTTAAGCTGCAGAAATTCCACCACTGAAGATTGGATGAATTTTTTTAAATGAATTTGCAGTGCACAATTTTATTCAAAGGTTCTTGAGTTGATACTCTTTTTGGACTTGAATAAAAAGCTCATAATCTTGGTGTGGAAATCCACCACCAAGTCCCAGCAGGCTGAGTGCATATGTCCATCATCATCCCTTTTGAGTTTTGCCTCTTGTCAAACAATTTCAGACAGATGCATCCCAGGCGGACACATCTGACTCCTACACCCCCGGGAACCAAGGAGAAAGAGAGAGAGAGAGAAAGAAGACAGACAGGAAGACAGGGGGGGGGGGGAAACACAGACAGGATACATGTTGCAACTCTGCTGCTGCTTCACATCCTGGAACTCCGCGCGCGCGGATCTCCTCTATATTTTTTTCTTTCTTTCTTTCTCCCATTCTTCTTCTTCTATACTGTACCACTTCTTTCTTTTATTATATTCCATCTCTATATCACTATATATGACGCACTACCATATCCCTCCCCTCAGAGCCTCTTTTCGCCTATGCTGCCTTCCCTTGGTTCTTGGTCTCTTTCACTTCTCCATTCCCTGTATCCACCACTGTTACTGCTGTGGCTGAGGCGTGGTCAACCAATGTACCATTGGGCAACAGTTTTTTGTTTCATATTTCCCTGAAAACCCTCTGATGCTCAGGATGTTCAATTAAATATGAAATACTATTGCAGTACATTTTATGGAACCTTGGAGAAGGAGGCAGAGGTGGAGTGTCCTGGGGGGACTGTATATATATAGGCAGAAAAGAAATTTATTCAAGCAGGTTTCTTAATTCATACACAGAGCATAAGATCATTGCAGTGCAGCCATTGGGAAAAGGAAACAAATCTTTGTTATGTAAATGAATGTTTGGCAAAGAAATTAAAATACAATTGAATCTCTTTGAGTCAAATTTCAAGGGGCATGCAAAAAATTTCAACTCAGGGAGGTTTTGAGTTGTAGATGTTTGAGCTGAGGAACCAAGCATTTTTGTTGTGGGAAACATAAAAGAAGTGCACTAAATTGTAAATAGGGATATTCTAGGCCTTGAATTGAGTACAGGTGGTATCTTGCAATTTGACCCTACTCCATTGCCAAATAAGAATTAAATTGCAAAGCAGTTGAATTGCAATACACTTCATTAAATTTACAAAAAAATGCCAGTACAAAAATGACAAAACAATTGGCCAAAGCAGGTTGAATTGCAGGGCAAGGGTCAAATTGCAAGACAACCTCCCTGCAAATTCCACTGTTGAATTGCAGGATGGTCAAATTGCAAGGTACCACTTGTGTAAAGGATGCTGAACTGAATTTTGAGGCAGGTCCAATTGAGTCTGTCACATCCTTTCAAAATCCATTGAATTCTTTTTTGCTCATTTTTTCTCCATGTGTCAAGAAAATGTCAGCCAAAAGACTTCAGAAAATTCAACTTATCATGGAGGTTTTAGAGGTAAAGCCTTTGAGTTAGAAAGGTAATTATGTTTTGTGTCCAAGGGAATTCAGACAGGGGCTAAGAAACAAAATTTGTCTTAAGGATGTATTTGAGTTAGGGAGGTTTCAACTGTAAAGGTGTGTCTGTGGGACAAAAACCTTGAAAAATTGATGAGAAATCTTTCCTGCAGAAATAAAGTTGTTGCAAATAAATTCAAATAGCATTATGTTCATTGGAAAAAATCTTGAGAAAGACATTTTTTAAATGTAGGTGGACACTCTCTTCAACAAGCTTCTCTACAACAAATTTCTCTGCACAAGGAATTCTTTGTGGTCCCATAGGAAGGATTCTTTCCCCATGTTATAAAAGTTCTGCTCTACAACAAAATTCTCTCTACAATACATTTTTTCAGTCCCTTGACATATTTAGTATAGAGAGTCATTCACATGCACCAAGGTTCTCTTGCACAATACTGTATTTTGGCTACAAAGAAAAGAATGGGAACTGGAAAATCATCTGCTAGAACAAATGTGATATGCTCAGTTAGACATAAAAATAACATTTTGGTTACACCACACAGCCCTTGAAACATTATTCATCAATAAGAATTTGATTTCATAAAATCCAACTGAACAATATGCAAACAAATTTCAGCATCTCCACACTGATCCCCTGATACTACCAAATGATTCCTGCTGCTCATTAGCCAGTGTTTTGTTTTGGTTTTGGCAGATGCTGAAATGAACTTCAAACAGATCTTGATTTATACTGTACTGATTTACCATATTTATGCCTGTGTCATGCCCAATTTCTCCCCACAATTCAGGGGCACATCATGAGCCCAACTTAGTCCTGATTTTTCTGGGAGAATTTTTCAAAAGATTCAATTGCATCTCAGAGTCAAATCACATTATAGTTGATGATTTAAAAAATGAATTACAGTACTGTAACATTTTTAAAATTATAAATTTGAGTTCAGATGAAAGTTGAATACAATCAGGTCAATCTGTTATTTTTTTAAATGAGGATAACAACCATAATATGCCAGATAGAATAAAAACATAAACATATAAAAATAATTAAAAGTTGCCATTTGAGTTGAGCATGAATTAACAACTTCAATTGTCACAATGTTGTAAAATTAACTGAAAACCATTGTGCACTTCTGGGCATCTGTTCTTTTTCAAATGTATGTCACTGCAAAATAAAGTGTGGTTCCCTCTTTTCAAGGGTGCATATTATGGTGCTCATTTTCTTATCATTGAAACTTTAAACTGAAGCATGTATATTTTTTTTAAATGTCATTCAAGGAGAAATAAATGTGAACATGTAAAGGTGCAGGATTCTTTTATCCCAAGAAATAAATTTCATCATCAGCCTTCAAATTTCAGTTGAATGAATGGTAAAATGTTGAACATTATAAGCAGAAAAAAGTACATTTCCAGTTTCTAAAAGAAGAACAGTACAGATAATAATCAATTCATTCTTAAAACAGTATATGAAATCTCAATTTTATAAGTTTATAGAGTCGCACTCATGAGGAAACCTTTCCAAATTCAGAAGAAAACAGCACATAAAATTACAATTAAAATACTAATAGTTGGCCAAAGTTTTAAAATTTTTTATTCAATAAGCCAGTATCATTTCCTGAAAAAGTGCATAAGAAAACTACTTAGATACACAAGTTCCTTCAGGAAAAAATTGAATATCATTAATATACGTGAGAAATGGTTAATGTTTCTATTTTCTTGTCCTTTCTCATATATATGCAGCAGTTGAACACTTCGAATTTTTTTCTTTTGATCAACCGAATTCAAGTAAAGGTGAGGTGTCCTGCAATAAATGATTTTTTATAGAAAAAACTAGAAAAATTTTTAGCACAGGAACCACATGAATTTGGATAGAAACCTATTTCTTTATGAAACGCAGGAAAGTTGGTTGTTCTGCATGCTCGTCAGAGGCGCCACTGTGCAGCGTCATCCAGTAATTAAATTCAAAGTGATGCAGTTATGTGCTGTAAATGACGAATAGAATTTCCATCAGCAAACAATTTTACATACCTTTCGCCAAATTAAATACGTATGTATCAAGTGCCACGCAACAATCAACTGATGCAATCAATAAAACGTAGCTTAGAATTTATTCACGTACGAACTTCCGAAGCGGGAAGTTACATACATTTAACAGCGACACCTATCTAAAAATAAATACAACATACTAAAAGGCGACCAATGTTTAGTGTAGGTGTCGCTGCAAACACTACGAAAAATGAGTATTTGACTTATTTTCCAGTGCGGCATTTCTTGTCGCAGACTTTATTTCTGGAAGAATGCAATTCTACGTGATGGTCATCAAGTTTAATCACGCTACAACAACAAAAAAAGGAAAGGAAGAAACGCTGAGGTAACTCTTTAATGTACTGACACCAGGAGCGAAACAGACTTCGAAAAAGGGACTTCTCTCTCTCTCTTTTCAGGGGGAAGAAAAAGGGGGTTTAAAATCCTCCCCTCAAAATCTCTCAAAACCGGGGTTTTTTTTTCCGCACACACTTCTAGGGAAAATGAAAAATAGTTTCCTAAACTCAAGACTTAATGTCAAAAAACCGCTATTATATGCTCGTCGCAGACACATACATGCCCTCTGTTCAACAACTTTGGTCAATTAATCCCGAACTGAAGAAAAAGAAAAACAGGTAAGCTCTATATAACCCCTGGGTATTCTTTTTTCTCCGCCTCTCTCTCTCTCGGTCTAGTTTCCAATAAAAGGACTTTCAAAAGAAAGGGGGGATTGATTGAAAGAATCCATTCCTCCTTTTTTTCAGTAAGCTGGATTGTCCTCCAGAAAAAACTGGCAAAAAACCGGGAAATATGCTGATGATGATGATGAGCCGTCTCTGCTTCCTAGGCAGACGGCGACGACAAAAAACCACTGGCTGCTGATCCTTACAACCCACTGGATATGCTCAAAAAATGTCCTACAACACAAACCTTTTCTCTTTGGACGATTCACACGCGAAAATATCACTCGCCATCCTTACTGGCCTAAGCTCGAGGACAAAACAAACAAACAAGTTATTTAATCATTATTTGTTTTTGGCCAAGAAAGCAGGAATGAATCCGTGCAAAAGGGGAGTTTCCCTCTCCTCAAAACCTCTCAAGTGCAAGACAGGAAGAAGAAGAAGAACAATGGCAAAAAAAGCACTGTGGCACCCCATCCTCCACCGCCCTCTTTTTTTCTTTCTTCATTTGGTGTTTTCATTTGGTGCCAGTTTTCTTCTTGAGCTTCATGTGGCTCTTGAAGGATGCCTGGATCTTGGCAGCAGCTGCCTCCACTGCTGGGTCATTCAGATCTATGTCTATTTCTTCTTCTTCAGCCTGCAACAGGGTATACAGACAAGACCATATCAGAGTGTGTGTGTGTGTGCCAAGAAATAACCCATTTCCCCCACCATCAATGTACAATTCAGTACTGTATATACTCACTGTTTTTAGCTGCTCCATGTCCTTGGCCAGTTCTTTGTCCTGTTCTTCATCCTTCTTCTTCTCTGCTGGAGTCCCTGTCTTCCTTGCAATGTGCCCTCTGAAGTTTGCTTGGATCTTGGTGGCTGCAACTGCCAAATCTGAAAAAGACAACAACATGACAAGTCTATGTCATCAATTCTGGAAAACATTCCATGATACACTCTTTCCAAGAGTTGAATCAAATCTTTCTGTACTGAATGTACAAAAGTTAAGGATTTCAAAAGTCAACATTCAAATGAATAAAAAAATGCATGCAGGATCACTCTGAAGAAAATTCATATATTTCCAATCACAAAAAGAATTCAAAATTTAGCCAAATGTCACCAACAATAGGTGCAGTATATGTGTTGCATAAAAAAACTTTCCTTGATGTACATCAATTATCAGCCAAGTTTGATAAAATAACATTTTTTAATGCAGTGGAATCTTGTTGCAGCCAAACCAGAAAGACCACAACAAAGGTTTCTCATGAATGATTTTTACAATAAAATTTGAATAGCACTGGTGCTTTTGGACAGGAACCTAAAACTAATTTTTGAACTAAATTTGCTGTAACAAGATTCTACTGAATTAAATTAAATTTTCCAGAATTAAAATTGATTCAGGCTGAATCATACCCCTATTGTTTTTTGTAAAGATTTCCTCATCTGTTGTACAACATTAATTTCTGGACTGCTCTAGTTTCTTAATATGCAGCAAAATGTGATTAACACATTTTCACAATGTTTTAATGCAGCTTCTCATAAAAAATATATGTACTTTCTAGAATGAACCATTGAAAGTCTATCACAATCAATAGTATTTCAGGCATATTGTCTAATCAGCATAATGAGTTCACATTTCATTTGCAATTTCAATGTATTTTGCAGCTTTACCTTCTAGTAAGTTTAATTACCAAATATGTCTCACCAATTCCAACTTTCAAACAAAAAAAAGCTTTACTTTCCAGACTAGATCCCTCAGAGCTCATCTGCTTTAAGGTTGCACCTGCATGTTCAATAATTCATCAACACCAGCCAAAGCTGCAACCCACATCAACCAACATCAAACATTTTCTGGCAACCCTGATTGCAGTCCTCAGCCCATAAAGCACCGCCATATTTACACACTCGCATGGAAAAACATTTATGTGCCATTTTATCTGAAAACGAACCTCTATATATATATATATACTGCACTGACCACGCAAACAATGGATTCCAAGACAGGTCTCCTTTTTTTTGTATTGTACTCAACTTCTGAGGCCTGACATGAAATGAGGAGTTGTGGGTGGATAAAGATTCCCCATAGAAAGAAAGAAAGGGATGACATAAAGAAAGAAGAAAGGTAAGAGAGAAAAACTCGTGCGGCTTCCAACAAAAGCGGGGGTCCCGGACGCGAACCTTGTTCAGGGGTGACAAGAAAAGAAGTAGAAATAAGGCCGGAAAAAAGCTCACCAGGATCACTGAGATCAATAGGCTCCTCCTCTGATCCCATGCTTTTGGTCATGGTACAATAAGGCAGCAGTTTCAGAAAATAAGCATGTCTGAAAAATCCTTTTTTCCCTGCAAAAATAACGCAACAATCACACGAGGTTAGATCAATATCCGGGACCGTAATGTAAGAAAAAATACAGTAGAGGATTCCCAAGGCTATACAGAAAACCTCAAGGCGATAAAGAGTATCTGCGGTCACGCAAATACAGTACTGAGGCCTATTTCGGATCCGGTGATTACAGAAACTTCTCGAAAATCATTCTTCCGAATCACTGCACAAGAAATACAGTACAGTATATATCACTCAGGAAATCTAAACGCACACAACCCCTTCGAAAAAGTAGGACACAGACGCGGAGGGGAGGGTTCGCTGGAAAATCCCAGTCTGACGCACACCATTTCATTTCTCGCTCGGATAAACAAGCAAAAGAAAATCATTTTGAACGTCGAAAAACGAAACCACGTCATGCGATTATCGTACTCATTTTTCTTCTATTTACACTCGACGGAAATTTAAACACGAAAACCTTCGAAATAAATAACCCCGATCGAGCAGAGACGAGCGGTGAATACAGTACAGTAATTTCCCCGCGATACAGTAACTCCCGCCATTTTGTTTATCGCGACTCACATGACGGAGAAATTCAATCGAATACCAATCGCGGAAACGATTGCCAGCCGTACCATGCCTCGATTTTGCTTTCCATTCCACACACCCCGAAGACACAAATAAACGTTCGGAGAATCGCAATAACATTTTCATTTGGATCATTAGCAGCGAATGCCGTTGGAAACCAACTTCTCACCCCGTACATGTAAAATCGCTCAAACAACGGGAAAACTAAGTAGAGTATAGCAGGACAAGAGCGGATGACGGAAATTTACGATTTCTTCGCGCGGTACAATAATGACTCACACCATTTTGTTTTTCAGTATTGCCTGTATACTCACTCGATGGGAGAAGTTCGACAGTAAATCGTAGACTAAACTTCCGTAAGTGGATTACTGCGAACGCCATCAAACAAGCGCGTAAAAATAAAGCAGGAGTATATATTGTAGCTCGGGATGGGGAGTCCTCACATAAAATAAAACGGTGCTCCTCGATACGAAAACTCCGTCTCTTCCAACGCTTCTCGCGCCGAGAAAACTCCTCAAAATGTGAGGAAAAAAAACCGACCCCAATCTTATACGAAGCACAGTGAACACCAATCATAAATGGAATCAGATTTTTTTGGAACGATTTTTCGGGATATAATAGTAACTTCCGCCATTTTGTTTCTCACTGAGTCGAGTTTATCAAACAAATGAAGAAAAAAAAAAGGTTCACAGGTATAATCAATGAATTCGCTTTTTCACGCGGCAGTTTCGCTTCCATTCACGTCACGAGCTGGTGGCGGAATGCGAGTCCAGGCAAGGGAAATCGGCAACAGGGATACTTTCTCTTTGCCACCCCCTCCCTCTGCTTACCCCCAGCACCTCCCCTTTCTTGGCGCGCGCAAAGGGGGCAGACATTTTGAGCGTGTGGCGGTCTGGCCGCCCGCTCCGCCTTTCTCCATACACGCCGTGAGAGGCAAACTGCGATTTGAAAGGGGAATACAGCGCGGGACGTGTACCAGGACAACAGCGTGTACAGTTCGCGGCCCATTAGGCATCACCGTTGCTATTGCATTTGCAAGCAACGTTTATACATTATTGCATATATATACGCAGGGTGCGTTGACACTATTGTACTGCGCCTGTTTCTCCTAGCAACTTTCTTTTTCCCGCTTTCTTGCTTATATATATATACAGTATACGTGATTCCCAAGTTTCAGACACACATCAATAATTGCCCTGTCCAAGGCTGCTGAAGTGAACTTTACTCCCATGCTTTCAGTTCCAAGTTTGGATCCTATTATACTACATATAAAGAATGGCATGTGTGTTGGGTGAGGACAAACATGCTGGCATGATGAATTGCACCCTGAGGCCACAATTTCCCCCATGCTGTTTCCAATATTGCATGGAAGATAAGGGATTGACAGAACAGGGATTCTTTCCCCATCAGGTGGGTGTTCTAGGGCTTCCCCAGCATGCAGCACAGAGCCCCCAGGGAATGGCAAGCCCATCATTCAGGCCAGAGGGAAAGTGGCCCAAGACACAGATGCAGGGCTTCTGTGGATACATGTATATATATATACAGTATATACCAAGAGGAATATCCAGCAACCATTTCAAGAAAGAGGGTGGGGGTAGAGGGAAAACAGATAGGAGGGAGCTGATCTGGTTCAGCTTTGTGCAATGGGCCTTTTCCCTGGGAGTGGCCAGCATATATATTTATATAAAGGGCAGAGGAGAACAGGGAGGAGATGTCCCTGCTGCTGCTGCTGCTGCTGTTACTCACTCCCTTGCATCCCAGGGTCTTCTCTCTCCTTTGTGGCAAGGGGTCTTTCACTGGACACATCATGCTTGGAGAGGTGGAGGGGACTCATTTTCTGAGGGCAAGCTTTTTGCACATGGTGTAAAGGCTTTTTGGGTTGCCAGGGGAATGACCTGGCTTCAAAATTGTGTGATCTGTGATGGGGCAAGTGCAGGTGAGGGTCTCCTTGGCACATACAAGGGCAAAGGAGAGGCTCAGGACACATATCTCCCTTGCAGGATCTATCTTGCTACACAAGTACCCTTGGCCCCCCCTTTTTCTTCTTCACACAGCCTCATTATATATACTCCCCCCTTTTTCCAAGGGCTGTTTCCCTGAATCATCCCTTCCCAGTGTTGCCTCAACTGGAGCCAAGTTGTTCAATAACCTGTCCTGGCTATGGGAGGGGAGGAGGGATGTGGAGCCAGCAAACTCCAGCAGAGAGTTTGATGGTCCAAGGGGAGGTAATTCATCACACCCAGAAGCTGGCTATAAGGTTCAGCCCAGGTCATCACCAGGATTTAATCTTCCCCACAAAACTGCTGGAGTAGAGCAGCCCTGAGCCAGGGAAAATTTGACAACCTTGTGGCATGTGCTGCTGCACAGGAAAGGGGAGATGTCATTGCATGTCACAGGAAATGCTCTACATCTCTCACCAGCACTGCTGCTGCTGGAAATGCCCACTACAGAATTCATTTTTTTTTCTGACAGCTCCCATACCCTCACATTTCCTCAACAATCCCATCCATATCCTCACATGAAAAACCACTCAATATCTATATGTGTCTGTGTGCATCACACAGGCAGAATATAATCTTGTTTCCCACCAGGAACTTACATAATCAAACATGGAAGGTGTACCAGGAACATGGGCATCAAATTACAATGACAGGTCCCAGCTTGGCAACTTTTAATGCTTCCCTCAGTGAATTATAATGTTAAAACATGTTTTCCTTCATTAATTTAAATTTTTCAAATACTTCTCCTGAAGGAAGGATCACCACTAAATATGGATTGATTGGAAGTTCAGTTTTCAGAATAGAAGAAGCATTAAATTAACAAACTTACAATTACATTTAGAAGGAAATTTTTTTGGTGGATTGAATGTAATGTGATTATTCTAATTGTTTCTTATTCTTATTCTGCTTCAAGTAAAATCAACATACAGGGCATCTATGTTTGATTCAACATTGCCCATGTTTTAAGCCAAAAAATAAAATCAATCAATATAAAAGAATCAGATGTAGTTGAAGTTACAAATGTATTTATCAGCAGCAGAAAAGTCCACTACTGATTCAAGATTTTGTGCACACATTTGTACATGAATATTGAACAGTATAATAACACCTTAATACATTACATTTTTGCTCACAATAAAATCTGTATTGTGACATATGAAAATACTGCTGTAAAAAGCAAATGATCAAATGTTAAAACTGGTCAAAATTTACTCTAAACTGTAGAACTGTAGCATTTCTGGCCATTTAAAACTCATTTTAATCAAGTAAATCAACCAACAATGTTCTTTCACAAAATGTATTATACATTATTTGAAATTTCTGGCAGCAAATTACACCATGACTGACTTCATGATGTTCCTGCTGAACTGATCAGTGTTAAACAGTATTGACTTCCATTACCTAATTGGAAATCCAGCTATAGTGAATTACCTCCAGGGTTCCCCATGCTGAATAAGGCCATTGTAAACGGAATAAAACAATGCCTTGGTTAATAGCCGCAATCCAATTCAGGAGGATAGCCTTATTCCAAAGGGGCCATTAATCTCCTGAAAGTCCATTAACCAAGTAATACAAAAACCCACAAAAACTGGCAAATCTCCTCTGAACCCCAATAATTTAAGAATGAACAGAAAAATGTGGCATAAACATTTCTAAAAAAAAACAGTATGAACCAAAAACCAGCCTTCAATATCATCATCATCATGAAATATGTTGGCAGCCATGTTTGACTGGTTACTTTCCTTGTTATCATCTGATGAGTACATATCATGGAAGCTTTTATCCAAAGCTTATACAGGCACTATATATGCAAAGGTAAAATAACCTCATGTAGTTTATGGGCTGTTATACATTTTACAAAAACCATTCTGCAAGGTTATGGTGAATGTTCAGTGTGTTCACTTGCTCACTTTTATGCCCACCAGCAATAAGTCAGCCATTTAACCTCAGGAGTAGAAGCAGTTCTGGATTTTTAGCAGGATTAATTGTTTGGAAATGTACTGCTGAAATTCAACTATGTCCAAGCATTGGGATAGAACCTGACTCATAAAATGTAGTTTCTGGATCTTATTTGCATAAGCAGTCAGCTAAATTTTTTGGTTCAATTATTTTTAAATGAAGAATATGTGTTGCCAGGGTAGATTTAGCCTATTCAATAGTATATAAGACCATGATGGTTAGGGAGAGGGTATTATACTAAATACTGTAAATATATTTTTGACAAACAGATTATACATGCATCACTTGAAAAATAACCAAACCATAAATTCTGCAAGATGATGAAGTTGATTTCAACACTTGCAGTCAAAGATATTTTGGGTTCCTGTGAGAATATCTTTATAATGACCAAAAGGCAGCTGGCAGACAAACAAAATTTGGCTTTATGTTTTTAAGCTGGATTAGAACAATTCCTATTCTTTCTTTGCAAACATTGAATGTTTTTGACCCCAAAAAAGTTGCAAG